ACTTAAAAAAGACGTCTATAAGTTGTGCTTAATTAGAGAGGTTTCTGATGAAACGGCAGAAACGATCAAAACGTGTCCAAGGTTTACGTCCCGGCCGAGTCACACAAGTCTGTCCAACTCTAATTAGTGTGTTTGAGGAGAGAATGCTCACTTCTTTCAGTTCCTTAACAAACCACGCAGAAGCGAAGACATGCAAATGAAGATCTCCAATCTAAACACAGAACACAAACACAGAACACACTGAAGCAGAGTGCAGAACCGCCACAGGAGCGCAGAACCGCCACAGGAACGCAGAACCGCCACAGGAACGCAGAACCGCCACAGGAACGCAGAACCGCCACAGGAACGCAGAACCGCCACAGGAACGCAGAACCGCCACAGGAACGCAGAACCGCCACAGGAACGCAGAACCGCCACAGAGCGCGGAACCGCCACAGGAACGCAGAACCGCCACAGGAACGCAGAACCGCCACAGGAACGCAGAACCGCCAGAGGACCGCAGAACCGCCACAGGAGCGCAGAACCGCCACAGGAAAGCAGAACCCCCACAGGAACGCAGAACCACCACAGGAACGCAGAACCGCCACAGGAACGCAGAACCGCCACAGGAACGCAGAACCGCCACAGGAACGCAGAACCACCACAGGAACGCAGAACCGCCACAGGAACGCAGAACCACCACAGGAACGCAGAACCGCCACAGGAACGCAGAACCGCCACAGGAACGCAGAACCACCACAGGAGCGCAGAACCGCCACAGGAACACAGAACCGCCACTGGAACGCAGAACCGCCACAGAGTACAGAACCGCCACAGGAACGCAGAACCGCCACAGGAACGCAGAACCGCCACAGGAACGCAGAACCGCCACAGGAGCGCAGAACCGCCACAGGAATGCAAAACCGCCACAGGAACGCAGAACCGCCGCAGGAACGCAGAACCGCCACAGGAACGCAGAACCGCCACAGGAACGCAGAACCGCTACAGAGCGCAGAACCGCCACAGGAAAGCTGAACCGCCACAGGAACGCAGAACCGCCACAGGAACGCACAACCGCCACAGGAACGCAGAACCGCCACAGGAACGCAGAACCGCCACAGGAAAGCTGAACCGCCACAGGAACGCAGAACCGCCACAGAGTGCAGAACCGCCACAGGAACGCAGAACCGCCACAGAGTGCAGAACCGCCACAGAGTGCAGAACCGCCAAAGGAACGCAGAACCGCCACAGGAACGCAGAACCGCCACAGAGTGCTGAACCGCCACAGGAACGCAGAACCGCCACAGGAACGCAGAAACGCCACAGAGCGCAGAACCGCCACAGAGTGCAGAACCGCCACAGAGTCCAGAACCCGCCACAGGAACGCAGAACCGCCACAGAGCGCAAAACCACCACAGAGTCCAAAACCGCCACAGGAACGCAGAACCGCCACAGAAAAACAGAACCACCACAGGAACGCAGAACCGCCACAGGAACCCAGAACCACCATAGGAACGCAGAACCGCCACAGAAAAGCAGAACCGCCACAGAGTGCAGAACCGCCACAGAGTCCAGAACCGCCACAGGAACGCAGAACCGCCACAGAGCGCAAAACCGCCACTGAGTCCAAAACCGCCACAGGAACGCAGAACCGCCACAGGAAAACAGAACCACCACAGGAACGCAGAACCGCCACAGAGCGCAGAACCGCCACAGAGTGCAGAACCGCCACAGAGTGCAGAACCGCCACAGAGCGCAGAACCGCCACAGAGCGCAAAACCGCCACAGAGTCCAAAACCGCCACAGGAACGCAGAACCGCCACAGGAAAACAGAACCACCACAGGAACGCAGAACCGCCACAGGAACCCAGAACCACCATAGGAACGCAGAACCGCCACAGAAAAGCAGAACCGCCACAGAGTGCAGAACCGCCACAGAGTCCAGAACCGCCACAGGAACGCAGAACCGCCACAGAGCGCAAAACCGCCACAGAGTCCAAAACCGCCACAGGAACGCAGAACCGCCACAGGAAAACAGAACTACCACAGGAACGCAGAACCGCCACAGAGCGCAGAACCGCCACAGAGTGCAGAACCGCCACAGAGTGCAGAACCGCCACAGAGCGCAGAACCGCCACAGAGCGCAAAACCGCCACAGAGTCCAAAACCGCCAGAGGAACGCAGAACCGCCACAGGAAAACAGAACCACCACACGAACGCAGAACCGCCACAGGAACCCAGAACCACCATAGGAACGCAGAACCTCCACAGAAAAGCTGAACCGCCACAGGAATGCTGAACCGCAACAGAGCGCAGAACCGCCACAGGAACGCAGAACAGCCACAGAAAAGCTGAACCGCCACAGAAAAGCTGAACCGCCACAGAAAAGCTGAACCGCCACAGAGCGCAGAACCACCATAGGAGCGCAGAACCGCCACAGAAAAGCTGAGCCGCCACAGGAATGCTGAACCGCAACAGGAACGCAGAACCGCCACAGGAAAGCTGAACCTCCACAGGAAAGCTGAACCGCCACAGAGCGCAGAACCACCATAGGAACGCAGAACCGCCACAGAAAAGCTGAACCGCCACAGGAACGCAGAACCGCCACAGGAACGCAGAACCGCCACAGGAAAGCTGAACCTCCACAGGAAAGCTGAACCGCCACAGAGCGCAGAACCACCATAGGAACGCAGAACCGCCACAGAAAAGCTGAACCGCCACAGGAACGCAGAACCGCCACAGGAACGCAGAACCGCCACAGGAAAGCTGAACCTCCACAGGAAAGCTGAACCGCCACAGAGCGCAGAACCACCATAGGAACGCAGAACCGCCACAGAAAAGCTGAACCGCCACAGGAAAGCTGAACCTCCACAGGAAAGCTGAACCGCCACAGGAACGCAGAACCGCCACAGGAAAGCTGAACCGCCACAGGAACGCAGAACCGCCACAGGAAAGCTGAACCTGCACAGGAAAGCTGAACCTCCACAGGAACGCAGAACCGCCACAGGAAAGCTGAACCGCCACAGGAACGCAGAACCGCCACAGAGCGCAGAACCGCCACAGAGTCCAGAACCCGCCACAGGAACGCAGAACCGCCACAGGAAAGCTGAACCGCCACAGAGCGCAGAACCTCCACAGGAACGCAGAACCGCCACAGAGCGCAGAACCGCCACAGGAACGCAGAACCGCCACAGAAAAGCTGAACCGCCACAGAAAAGCTGAACCGCCACAGAGCGCAGAACCGCCACAGAGTCCAGAACCCGCCACAGGAACGCAGAACCGCCACAGGAAAGCTGAACCGCCACAGAGCACAGAACCTCCACAGGAACGCAGAACCGCCACAGAGCGCAGAACCGCCACAGGAACGCAGAACCACCACAGAGCGCAGAACCGCCACAGGAACGCAGAACCGCCACAGAAAAGCTGAACCACCACAGAGCGCAGAACCGCCACAGGAACGCAGAACCGCCACAGAAAAGCTGAACCGCCACAGAGCGCAGAACCGCCACAGGAACGCAGAACCACCACAGAGCGCAGAACCGCCACTGGAACGCAGAACCTCCACAGGAACGCAGAACCGCCACAGGAACGCAGAACCACAGGAACGCAGAACCGCCACAGAGCGCAGAACCGCCACAGGAACGCAGAACCGCCACAGAGCGCAGAACCGCCACAGGAACGCAGAACCGCAACAGGAAAGCTGAACCGCCACAGAGCGCAGAACCTCCACAGGAACGCAGAACCGCAACAGGAAAGCAGAACCGCCACAGGAAAGCAGAACCGCCACAGGAACGCAGAACCACCACAGGAAAGCAGAACCGCAACAGGAAAGCTGAACCGCCACAGAGCGCAGAACCGCCACAGGAACGCAGAACCGCAACAGGAAAGCTGAACCGCCACAGAGCGCAGAACCTCCACAGGAACGCAGAACCGCAACAGGAAAGCAGAACCGCCACAGGAAAGCAGAACCGCCACAGGAACGCAGAACCGCAACAGGAAAGCAGAACCGCAACAGGAAAGCAGAACCGCAACAGGAAAGCAGAACCGCCACAGGAAAGCAGAACCGCCACAGGAACGCAGAACCGCAACAGGAAAGCAGAACCGCAACAGGAAAGCAGAACCGCCACAGGAAAGCAGAACCGCCACAGGAACGCAGAACCGCCACAGGAACGCAGAACCGCAACAGGAAAGCAGAACCCCAACAGGAAAGCAGAACCGCCACAGGAACGCAGAACCGCCACAGGAAAGCTGAACCGCCACAGGAACGCAGAACCGCCACAGGAACGCAGAACCGCCACAGGAACGCTGCACGGAACCGATGTGCTGGTGGAAACGGCTAAATCACTCTGGGAATGAAGAAGTCCAGAGAAGTGTGTGTGTTTAGATGCGCCGCAGATCAGCCGTGGGTCGCAGGGACAAACAAACAGTAAAATACAACCAATTGTGCAGAATAATACAGATTTGCAAGGGAGGAAAAAACACGTCCCAATGCATCTTTACAAGAATATCTCGAATTAGTTAATGCATTAGCTAAAATGAACTAACAATGAACAATATATTTTAAACCATTTATTAATCTTTGTTAATGTTTGTTAAAAACATACAGTTTGTTCATGTTCGTGTTAGTTCAGTAATGTTAACAAATTAAACCTTATTGTAAAGTTTTGCCAAAATTACACTCTCTCGCTCACACACACACACACACACACACTAACCAGACCCCTAAACCTAGCCATCCCACACACACACACACACACACACACACACACAAACACACTATCCCGACCCCTAAACCTAGCCATCTTACACACACACACACACACACACACACTAACCCGACCCCTAAACCTAGCCATCACACACACACACACACACACAATAACCCGACCCCTAAACCTAGCCATCACACACACACACACACACACACACACACACACACACTAACCCGACCCCTAAACCTAGCCATCACACACACACACACACACACACACACACACACACACACTTTTAAAACACATAAGATGGATGCATCGCAGGACTCGTGCAGAAAGGTATTACTGATGGTTCTGTCGACTCGCTCCACCGAGACTTTCACTCAATAGTCATTTGAAAATGAAATCAGTAAGTTTGACTGAGTAATAAAACAGATCGTTCGCAGCGAGAGAGGCACTTAGGACCAATGCCACCAAATATCTCATTTCTTAATCAACAGCAATTTCACTGATGACTTTATCTCTGATTGGATTAAAGATAAATTTCAAAGTCAAAAATCATTTGATCTAATTCTCTTTATTGGTAATAATCTGACATCGTCCCTGAGCTGCAACCAATCAAAACACTCATTGATTTTAGCCGACTGAGCTGTACACACACACGCACACACACACACACACTCACACACATCCAACTCCATTACTTACAAACTTTAACAGATCTTTGCTCAATGACCCGGATGTCAGAGTTGTTTTAGACAGACTGTAACAGATCATCGAGGTTGACACAACGGGGTTTAACACAGTGAGGTTTAACACAACGAGGTTTAACACAACAAGGTTTAACACAACAAGGTTTAACACAACGAGGTTTAACACAACAAGGTTTAACACAACGGGGTTTAACTCAACGAGGTTTAACACAACGGGGTTTAACTCAACGGGGTTTAACTCAACGAGGTTTAACACAACGGGGTTTAACTCAACGAGGTTTAACACAACGAGGTTTAACACAACAAGGTTTAACACAACGGGGTTTAACTCAACGAGGTTTAACACAACGAGGTTTAACACAGCGAGGTTTAACACAACGATGTTTAACACAACGAGGTTTAACACAACAAGGTTTAACACAACGAGGTTTAACTCAACGAGGTTTAACACAACGAGGTTTAACTCAACGAGGTTTAACACAACGAGGTTTAACACAACGGGGTTTAACTCAACGAGGTTTAACACAACGAGGTTTAACACAGCGAGGTTTAACACAACGAGGTTTAACACAACGGGGTTTAACTCAACGGGGTTTAACTCAACGAGGTTTAACACAACGGGGTTTAACTCAACGAGGTTTAACACAACGAGGTTTAACACAACGGGGTTTAACTCAACGAGGTTTAACACAACGAGGTTTAACACAGCGAGGTTTAACACAACGAGGTTTAACACAACGGGGTTTAACTCAACGGGGTTTAACTCAACGAGGTTTAACACAACGGGGTTTAACTCAACGAGGTTTAACCCTTGTGTTATGTTGCGGGTCAATTTGACCCGTTTCGATTTTCAAGTTGTTGGAAATACTGGTTAACCTTTGTTTTTTTTCTTGATATTTTGTGACTTTTTCTCATTTATCATGATGAACATGCATGCAAAGTTTCAACATGCTGATGTGTTTTGACATATACAAACAAAATTACTGTTACGTTTGTGATGTTCGCGGGTCAATTTGACCCTCATAGACAGCCATTCAAAATCAACTGTACAGACACAAAATAAAAACATTTATTTTCTGTATGTAAGGGCACTTCAACTCCAGTTCGAACGTGCAAGTGGATCTAAAAGTGCTCTAACCCTAACCAAACACACTTGAAAAAGCTAAAATTACAGTGTTCAGAATTATTTGCAAATTACAGATGAAAATCTTTGTCAGACACAGATAGTAAAATAAGCTCTCATTTCAATATTCAAAATATCTAAAATACCTAGCTTTTAACCCAAACTTTTATGTAGGATTTTCAAAGGCAGCTTCACAGAGCCAAAAAATAAATAAAAAACATTTATTTGATGTATGATTTTGTTATGTTTGGTTTCTCACTTCCCAGTGAGTGAATAATGAAACTAGGAAAATAGGTCTTAGGAAACTAGGGAAAGTTAACTTAGGAAAATGAAAAATTTTCATTATACAGCAATTTTTTTTGTTCAGTTACGATGTTCAAAGCATAAAATGTAAAAAAAATATATATATATATATATATATATGCAAAAAAAAAATCAGTATACTATTTATTTTCCAATTTTGTCAAAACAAAACTGTTTTAAAAAATGTTTTAAAAACATTTTCATAAATCATATTTTCAGATATAATGTTTTTGTAATGTTTGACAAATGTTGATATTAAAAGTTTACAGTTTGTATCTAAATCTTTGTTGTTTTTCATAGTGTGATTTTTGAGGAATTGTATTGAATCCAATTAGGGTCAATTTGACCCGGTCCATAAGGGGAGTGCACAGAATTCGAACAGAACACAAGGTTAACACAACAGGGTTTACCACAACAAGGTTTAACACAACGGGGTTTAACTCAACGAGGTTTAACACAACGGGGTTTAACTCAACGGGGTTTAACTCAACGAGGTTTAACACAACGGGGTTTAACTCAACGAGGTTTAACACAACAGGGTTTACCACAACAAGGTTTAACACAACGGGGTTTAACTCAACGAGGTTTAACACAACGGGGTTTAACTCAACGGGGTTTAACTCAACGAGGTTTAACACAACGGGGTTTAACTCAACGAGGTTTAACTCAACGAGGTTTAACACAACAAGGTTTAACTCAACGAGGTTTAACACAACGGGGTTTAACTCAACGGGGTTTAACTCAACGAGGTTTAACACAACGGGGTTTAACTCAACGAGGTTTAACACAACGAGGTTTAACACAACAAGGTTTAACACAACGAGGTTTAACACAACAAGGTTTAACACAACGAGGTTTAACAAAGCGAGGTTTAACACAACGAGGTTTAACTCAACGAGGTTTAACTCAACGAGGTTTAACTCAACGAGGTTTAACACAACGGGGTTTAACTCAACGAGGTTTAACACAACTAGGTTTAACACAACAAGGTTTAACACAACAAGGTTTAACACAACGAGGTTTAACACAGCGAGGTTTAACACAACGAGGTTTAACTCAACGAGGTTTAACTCAACGAGATTTAACACAACGGGGTTTAACTCAACGAGGTTTAACACAACTAGGTTTAACACAACAAGGTTTAACACAACAAGGTTTAACACAACGGGGTTTAACTCAACGAGGTTTAACACAACGGGGTTTAACTCAACGAGATTCAACACAACGAGGTTTAACACAACGAGGTTTAACACAACGGGGTTTAACTCAACGAGGTTTAACACAACAAGGTTTAACTCAACGAGGTTCAACACAACGGGGTTTAACTCAACGAGGTTTAACACAACGGGGTTTAACTCAACGAGGTTTAACACAACGGGGTTTAACTCAACGAGGTTTAACACAACGGGGTTTAACTCAACGAGGTTTAACACAACGGGGTTTAACTCAACGAGGTTTAACACAACAGGGTTTAACTCAACGAGGTTTAACACAACGAGGTTTAACTCAACAAGGTTTAACACAGCAAGGTTTAACACAATGAGGTTTAACACAACGAGGTTTAACACAACGGGGTTTAACACAACGAGGTTTAACACAACGAGGTTTAACACAACGAGGTTTAACACAACGGGGTTTAACACAACGAGGTTTAACACAACGAGGTTTAACACAGCGAGGTTTAACACAACGAGGTTTAACACAGCGAGGTTTAACACAGCGAGGTTTAACACAGCGAGGTTTAACACAACAAGGTTTAACACAGCAAAGTTTAACACAACAAGGTTTAACACAACGAGGTTTAACACAGCGAGGTTTAACACAACAAGGTTTAACACAGCGAGGTTTAACACAACAGGATTTAACACAGCGAGGTTTAACACAAAGGGGTTTAACACAACGAGGTTTAACACAGCGAGATTTAACACAGCGAGGTTTAACACAACAAAGTTTAACACAGCGAAGTTTAACACAGCGGGGTTTAACACAACAAGGTTTAACACAACGAGGTTTAACACAACAAGGTTTAACACAACAAGGTTTAACACAGCGAGGTTTAACACAACGAGGTTTAACACAACGAGGTTTAACACAACGAGGTTTAACACAACAAGGTTTAACACAGCGAGGTTTAACACAACGAGGTTTAACACAACGAGGTTTAACTCAACTAGGTTTAACACAACGAGGTTTAACACAACAAAGTTTAACACAACAAGGTTTAACACAGCGAGGTTTAACACAGCGAGGTTTAACACAGCGAGGTTTAACACACCGAGGTTTAACACAACAAGGTTTAACACAACAAGGTTTAACACAGCGAGGTTTAACACAATGAGGTTTAACACAGCAAGGTTTAACACAGCGAGGTTTAACACAGCAAGGTTTAACACAGCGAGGTTTAACACAAACGAGGTTTAACACAGCGAGGTTTAACACAACGAGGTTTAACTCAACGAGGTTTAACACAACAAGGTTTAACACAGCGAGGTTTAACACAACGAGGTTTAACACAACGAGGTTTAACACAGCGAGGTTTAACACAGCGAGGTTTAACACAGCGAGGTTTAACACAAACGAGTTTTAACACAGCGAGGTTTGACACAACGAGGTTTAACACAAACGAGGTTTAACACAGAGAGGTTTAACACAGAGAGGTTTAACACAACGAGGTTTAACACAAACGAGGTTTAACACAGCGAGGTTTAACACAACGAGGTTTAACACAAACGAGGTTTAACACAACGTGGTTTAACACAGCGAGGTTTAACACAGAGAGGTTTAACACAACGGGGTTTAACACAAACGAGGTTTAACACAGAGAGGTTTAACACAACGGGGTTTAACACAAACGAAGTTTAACACAAACGAGGTTTAACACAGCGAGGTTTAACACAGCGAGGTTTAACACAGCGAGGTTTAGCACAAACGAGGTTTAACACAACGAGTTTTAACACAGCGAGGTTTAACACAGAGAGGTTTAACACAGAGAGGTTTAACACAACGAGGTTTAACACAGCGAGGTTTAACACAGCGAGGTTTAACACAGAGAGGTTTAACACAACGAGGTTTAACACAGCGAGGTTTAACACAGAGAGGTTTAACACAGCGAGGTTTAACACAGCGAGGTTTAACACAACGAGGTTTAACACAATGAGGTTTAACACAGCGAGGTTTAACACAACGAGGTTTAACACAGCGAGGTTTAACACAGCGAGGTTTAACAGAGAGGTTTAACACAAACGAGGTTTAACACAGCGAGGTTTAACACAGAGAGGTTTAACAGAGCGAGGTTTAACACAGAGAGGTTTAACACAACGGGGTTTAACACAGCGAGGTTTAACACAGCGAGGTTTAACACAGCGAGGTTTAACACAACGAGGTTTAACACAACGAGGTTTAACACAGCGAGGTTTAACACAACGAGGTTTAACACAGCGAGGTTTAACACAGCGAGGTTTAACACAGAGAGGTTTAACACAACGAAGTTTAACACAACGAGGTTTAACACAGCGAGGTTTAACACAGCGAGGTTTAACACAGAGAGGTTTAACACAGAGAGGTTTAACACAACGAGGTTTAACACAGCGAGGTTTAACACAGAGAGGTTTAACACAGAGAGGTTTAACACAACGAGGTTTAACACAGCGAGGTTTAACACAGCGAGGTTTAACAGAGCGAGGTTTAACACAGAGAGGTTTAACACAGAGAGGTTTAACACAACGAGGTTTAACACAGCGAGGTTTAACACAGAGAGGTTTAACACAACGAGGTTTAACACAGCGAGGTTTAACACAGAGAGGTTTAACACAGCGAGGTTTAACACAACGAGGTTTAACACAGCGAGGTTTAACACAACGAGGTTTAACACAGCGAGGTTTAACACAGCGAGGTTTAACACAGAGAGGTTTAACACAACGAGGTTTAACACAGCGAGGTTTAACACAGCGAGGTTTAACACAGCGAGGTTTAACATAACGAGGTTTAACACAGCGAGGTTTAACACAACGAGGTTTAACACAGCGAGGTTTAACACAGCGAGGTTTGACACAGCGAGGTTTAACATAACGAGGTTTAACACAACGAGGTTTAACACAGCGAGGTTTAACACAGCGAGGTTTAACACAGCGAGGTTTAACACAACGAGGTTTAACACAGCGAGGTTTAACACAGCGAGATTTAACACAGCGAGGTTTAACACAACGAGGTTTAACACAGCGAGGTTTATCACAACGAGGTTTAACACAGCTAGGTTTAACACAGCTAGGTTTAACACGACGGGGTTTAACACAACGAGGTTTAACACAACGGGGTTTAACACAACGAGGTTTAACACAACGAGGTTTAACACAGCGAGGTTTAACACAACAAGGTTTAACACAGCGAGGTTTAACACAACGAGGTTTAACACAACGAGGTTTAACTCAACAAGGCTTAACACAACAAGGTTTAACCCAACTAGGTTTAACCCAACTAGGTTTAACACAGCGAGGTTTAACACAGCGAGGTTTAACACAACAAGGTTTAACACAACAAGGTTTAACACAACGAGGTTTAACTCAACGAGGTTTAACACAGCGAGGTTTAACACAGCGAGGTTTAACACAGCGAGGTTTAACACAGTGGGGTTTAACACAACAAGGTGTAACACAACGAGGTTTAACACAGCGAGGTTTAACACAACGAGGTTTAACACAACAAGGTTTAACACAACGAGGTTTAACACAGCGAGGTTTAACACAACGAGGTTTAACACAACGAGGTTCAACTGAACGAGGTTTAACACAACGAGTTTTAACACAGCGAGATTTATAACAGCGAGATTTAACACAACGAGGTTTAACACAGCGAGGTTTAACACAACGAGGTTTAACTCAACGAGGTTTAACACAACGAGGTTTAACACAGCGAGGTTTAACACAACGAGGTTTAACACAACGAGGTTTAACACAGCGAGGTTTAACACAACGAGGTTTAACACAACGAGGTTTAACACAGCGAGGTTTAACACAATGAGGTTTAACACAACGAGGTTTAACACAACGAGGTTTACCACAACGAGGTGTAACACAGCGAGGTTTAACACAACGAAGTTTAACACAACAAGGTTTAACACAATGAGGTTTAACACAACGAGATGTAACACAAAGAGGTTTAACACAACTAGGTTTAACACAACGAGGTTTAACACAACAAGGTTTAACACAACAAGGTTTAACACAGCGAGGTTTAACCCAAACGAGGTTTAACACAGCGAGGTTTAACACAAAGAGGTTTAACACAGCGAGGTTTAACACAGCGAGGTTTAACACAGCGAGGTTTAACACAGAGAGGTTTAACACAGAGAGGTTTAACACAAAGAGATTTAACACAACGAGGTTTAACACAACGAGGTTTTACACAACGAGGTTTAACACAAGGAGGTTTAACACAACAAGGTTTAACACAATGAGGTTTAACACAAAGAGATGTAACACAAAGATTTTTAACACAGCGAGGTTTAACACAACAAGGTTTAACACACCGAGGTTTAACACAACGAGGTTTAACACAACGAGGTTTAACTCAACTAGGTTTAACACAACGAGGTTTAACACAACAAGGTTTAACACAGCGAGGTTTAACCCAAACGAGGTTTAACACAGCGAGGTTTAACACAGAGAGGTTTAACACAAAGAGGTTTAACACAGCGAGGTTTAACACAGCGAGGTTTAACACAGCGAGGTTTAACACAGAGAGGTTTAACACAAAGAGATTTAACACAACGAGGTTTAACACAACGAGGTTTTACACAACGAGGTTTAACACAACGAGGTTTAACACAACAAGGTTTAACACAATGAGGTTTAACACAACGAGATATAACACAAAGAGGTTTAACACAGCGAGGTTTAACACAACAAGGTTTAACACAGCGAGGTTTAACACAACGAGGTTTAACACAACGAGGTTTAACTCAACTAGGTTAAACACAACGAGGTTTAACACAACAAGGTTTAACACAACAAGGTTTAACAGCGAGGTTTAACACAGCGAGGTTTAACACAGCGAGGTTTAACACAGCGAGGTTTAACACAACAAGGTTTAACACAACAAGGTTTAACACAGCGAGGTTTAACACAACGAGGTTTAACACAGCGAGGTTTAACACAGCGAGGTTTAACACAGCGAGGTTTAACACAGCGAGGTTTAACACAAACGAGGTTTAACACAGCGAGGTTTAACACAACGAGGTTTAACTCAACGAGGTTTAACACAGCGAGGTTTAACACAGCGAGGTTTAACACAACAAGGTTTAACACAACAAGTTTTAACACAGCGAGGTTTAACACAACGAGGTTTAACACAATGAGGTTTAACACAGCGAGGTTTAACACAGCGAGGTTTAACACAGCGAGGTTTAACACAAACGAGTTTTAACACAGCGAGGTTTAACACAGAGAGGTTTAACACAATGAGGTTTAACACAAACGAGGTTTAACACAGCGAGGTTTAACACAAACGAGGTTTAACACAGCGAGGTTTAACACAACAAGGTTTAACACAGAGAGGTTTAACACAACGGGGTTTAACAGAAACGAGGTTTAACACAGAGAGGTTTAACACAACGGGGTTTAACACAAACGAGGTTTAACACAAACGAGGTTTAACACAGCGAGATTTAACACAGCGAGGTTTAACACAGCGAGGTTTAGCACAAACGAGGTTTAACACAACGAGTTTTAACACAGCGAGGTTTAACACAGCGAGGTTTAACACAGCGAGGTTTAACACAGCGAGGTTTAACACAGCGGGGTTTAACACAAACAAGGTTTAACACAGAGAGGTTTAACACAACGGGGTTTAACACAAACGAGGTTTAACACAAACGAGGTTTAACACAAACGAGGTTTAACACAGCGAGGTTTAACACAGAGAGGTTTAACACAACGGGGTTTAACACAAACGAGGTTTAACACAACGAGGTTTAACACAGCGAGGTTTAACACAGCGAGGTTTAACACAGCGAGGTTTAACACAGAGAGGTTTAACACAACGAGGTTTAACACAGCGAGGTTTAACACAACAGGGTTTAACACAACGAGGTTTAACACAGAGAGGTTTAACACAACGGGGTTTAACACAGCGAGGTTTAACACAGCGAGGTTTAACACAAACGAGGTTTAACACAACGAGGTTTAACACAGCGAGGTTTAACACAACGAGGTTTAACCAGAGGTGGGTAGTAACGAAGTACATTTACTTCGTTACATTTACTTGAGTATTTTTTGGGAAAATTTTTACTTTTAAGAGTAGATTTAATTGTGGGTACTTTTACTTTAACTCGAGTACATTTCTAATGAAAAAACGGTACTTTTACTTCGTTACGTTGGGCGACGTTCCTCTCGTTACTTTATTTTAATGCAATATGTTGTTAAAAGCGTAGTTTATTCCAAGCGCGCGCTCTCTCTTTTTTTCTGGGCATGAGCGATGCTCAATTCACAAATGAATCACTCTTTTGAGTCGATTCTGTTCAAAGACTTCATCAAACAAGTTGGGCAGATCTGTCTAAATCGGTTCGCGAATCAGTTTGAATGATCTGTTCAGTTTCCTGCACGCACTGAATCAGATCGTAACAGGAAGATTACATCAACATCAAGATTACATCAAGAGCGTTGTATGAAGTGGCGGTCCACAGTCTACAGTACAGTCTAGAAAGTAAATCTGCAAATGCATCATATTTTTTGCCAGCGATGAAGATCTTTATTTGTTGAACATCTTCGTATGTTACTTCGTAAGCTGTCTGTGAATGAATTATTCCACACGACGATACATTCGATTTCATTTCATTCAGGTAATACATTTTACAACCAAACAGATTATTACGCCATATAGCACTACTACAAAGTATGACATTACCCTTTTTTTGGACATATACATTAATTTATACATAAAATAAGCTATCATCCAGTTTATGAATGTGTGTACACACACAATGTGTGTATTGCGCAGTGGCGTGCGAACTCGACTTGAAAACGAATGCCTTTGCCTGCCTTATTAGACACAGTTAACCAGTTTAAAGATGCTTTCACAAATATAGCCTACATTTAAATACATTTTGGAGAACAGACAGAAGAAGATCCGTGCATTTGATCGTTGGTTGTGTTTGGCATGACATGACTGCGGGCACATGTGCAGAGTTTTAACACTTTCTAATCTGTGTCAATGGTTCCCACCCCTTTACATGAATGCAAAACTCAATAGAGTCACTTTATTCCGACATTGTCTAATAATCCAAATGTAGTTGTATAAGTTATTATACTATTATACAAACCAAAGGACAGGCAATGGTTTTCGGGCTATAGATATAATATACAGATATACAGAAATAATGTTTGTCTCTTCTTGTTTTTGTTGCAAAGATAGCTTATCTAATTATGATAATTTTAGTCATTAAAATAAAAAAAAATCTAAATGTCATGTTATATATATATATATATAGGCCTATGTGATCCAAAGTAACTAGTAACTAACTACTTGAGTAGTTTTTTCATTGGATACTTTTTTACTCTTACTCAAGTAACTTTTAAGATTATTACTTTTACTTTTACTTTGAGTAAATATTTCTATAAGTACTTGTACTTTTACTTGAGTACAGTTTTTGGATACTCTACCCACCTCTGGGTTTAACACAGCGAGGTTTAACACAACGGGGTTTAACACAACGAGGTTTAACACAGAGAGGTTTAACACAACGGGGTTTAACACAGCGAGGTTTAACACAGCGAGGTTTAACACAAACGAGGTTTAACACAGAGACACGGACCTCGTGTCCAATATTATGTCCAATAAAATTATACAATCACCACATTAGTCCGGTAAATATCCGGTTCCCTTTCAAGGGAACTTCGAGCTGCGTCAAACGCTGCGGGAACGCCCCTGCGTTGTGCGTCATGAAGCACGTATGGAATCAGCCCAATGGAGAGATGAAACGTCATAGGCGGGTGACGTCATCGACCAGGAAACTATAAAGCACCCCAAAAACACAAGCGCATTAGCTTCTGTGCTTTCAGTCGCGCTACATGTGAATCTGTCCCTGTGTGATATTGTCTGTCTTTACATACCCTGCACCACACAAACAATTTATCCTTATATTGAGAGATATGGCGGACGAACAACAGTTTCGGAAGTGTGTTCCTCCCTGCTCGCGTTATTTAACGAGCGGGGATACACATGATCTTTGTGTTGTTTGTTTGGGAGTTCAGCATGCCCAGTCTGCTCTC